GCTTATCAATTTTATTTCTATTTGTCTGTTCCGAGTTGTATATGGGATAAATTTAAATATTTTATCTTTATTTTACAATATTACTACCCATTCTTGCAACTAACAGTGCATAATTAGGTTTTGAACTGCTTTCTACTTTATGTTTATTCACTACATGTGTGTATATCTACATGTCATCTTTGACTGGTACTACTAATCATCATTTGCCCCGTGATTTGACCTTTTTTGCCCCATATTCTACTCGAAGATCATAGTTCAGGTTTTGTACAATAAAAATAACGGATATGCTCTTTAATTGATAATTTCAATTTCATGTTCAGCTTCTGGAAAGCAGCTGATATTTCATACCCTTTAAGTTTTACAATCAGTTTCCAAAACATCAGTCTTTATAATTAACCCAAAGATGAGTTAGCCCATAAGGGCTATTAGCATCGAAACAGCATTTTGAGTCAAATCGCTGTAAACGGCTGTATGACTTTTACGATTGCTTCCCCCAAATATTATCCCCCTGTGTCATATTTAAAGAAATTAAATAATGAAGAATGTTTCTCGCACTGTTAAAAAACAACGGTACCTAGAGCCATCAAATGTTGAACAACGTAGTGCTCCACCCGAATATGAGCACTTTAAGCCCTAATCTTGAATTTCGAATTTGTTTTATTATCTATTTCATATTTTTTAAACTTTACCGAATTTCTGATTAAGAAACTCACAATTTCAAAACGAGCAGTGGCAACACACTGTGAGGAATAAAATATTTTTATCTGCAGAGCGCGAGACTGTCTATCGAATATTCTAAAGATATGCTTTTTTAAAATGTATTTAATTCAAAGAGACTTTAGCCTGAATGCTCTCGGAACATGTAGATACGTGTAAACGAAAGAAACGGCCCCTTGCGCGTCATATAAAATCTAAAACTTTTTTTTTCTTATTTTCACTTTACAATAATACTACCTGTTTGCTTCAAACTAACTTAATGGTACTATATTTGATGTATTGTAGAAGGTTTTTAATCATCAGTTAATGTCTTCATATTCTACTCGAAGATCTTCCTAACTTTATATTTTTACAGCCAGTTGCCCAAAGCATCAGTCTTGATTATTTTCATTATTATTTGGCCTTTTTGACATAATACGTTTTCAAAAATCCTTACTGGGGATTTATTTTTACAACAGTTGGCCGTAGAAATGTACTTCTGAATATTGTTACGGATTTTGTATTTATTTAGTTTGCTATTTTTAATGCAATTGCTATTAAAATTGTTTTATATTCTCGTGGCAATGCAGACGAGAACTTCTTTTGAAGACAAGGGAAAAAAATAAAAAAAAAAATAAACCACGGCACGCGCATTTAATAAATATTATATCTCGTATTGTACTTCTTTTGTTTCAAAAAAAAATCGAAGAAGAAAATGAGAGAAGTGCTCGTGCATAATTAAGAGCTTGTAAAAGCTAAAGGAAAACATCTCAATTCAGTTGCTTCAAAGTTGTTTAGAAAACTGTTGTTTATGTTTAGCGGATTCGCGTGTGAAATAGGGTTAGCTTTCTCTGTTTTGAATTATGTTCTGTAAAACGTTTTAGTAGTTTACAATATAACTATTGTGAGATATTGCGATATTGTATGATTAACTCTGAGTAAATTTAAGCATTTTGCATTTATTCTTGGGATAACAATAAATTTTATTCACTTTTCATTGGGCTTGTGCATTCAATTCATTACGAACCTGCACGCACGCAACAATACTAAAATGCTTTATATGATGAAAATATTCGTGTTTACCATTCTGAAGTTTTAAACAATTAATTTTGTAAAACTTATGAAGACTAAATTTTTATACATTCTCCGGTCTTTAGGTTTAGGAAATCATTATGCTCATTATAAAAATTAAAAGTATGAAGAGTAACTCCGATATGACAAAAAACTAGCAAAGCTGTTTCATTTTAAATTTGGAGATCATATTCAGGTGTCGTACACATACTGAAGAGCGAAATTTTTGCATATAAACATAAGTAAAATTAAATATCAAGTTAGGAAAGTGTTTTTTTCGATATTTATAACTTAAGTGATAAACATTCTACGTCAGTTGTCGTAAACGATATAGATCATTTTTAATTTTTTCCAAAAGGAGATTTTATTCACAGAATCTTATAGAATTCGAATTCTTGAAACCATAGCAGGCTTAAGTATTGGCATACATCTAACTCATCACCTATCTCATCATCTAACTCATCCTCTATCACTTGCAGAAATTTGATAAGAAAATGTTCTAGTCTAATAAATTGTGTATGTTTATTAGATTATGATTCTAAAATAATAAAACTTCATAAGAACATTAATAACGTATTTTTAGACCATAAAAACTAAAATGACTTGTATAAAACTTTCTCCTGTATACCAATAGCAATTAAATTATAAATTAAAGAACTAAGAGCTTGTGAATCACAAAATAATGTAATTAAATAATAACATTTAAACCTTGATCTTGCTCTAATTTATTTGCTAAGCGATCCCTCGCGGCAAGCTGAAAACTCTGTCATATATCCAAAATTTTTAAATCAAATGTCTCGGTCAAATTTTGTTGTACTGGTGGCCTTTTTTTTTTTTTTTTTTTTTTAAATGGGCATCAGATTTTTTTAAATATTAGTATAGGGACTGAAGAACCTTATAAAAAGTTATATTTCAGAATTTATCAGCCCAAAAGGGCTATTATTCTTCGAATGTGATTTTGCGTCGAATCACTATAAATGCATCGTTTCACTTTTCATTCGAGTCTGTTGCCGTTCGGAAAAATGTAAGATATTTGTCTTTCAAACTGAGTCTGTGTGCTGTGGATTAACAAGCTAACTTACTTGTTAAGAATATTCGTTTCTTTCTTTTGAATCGGATTGATTTAAATAACAAAAAGCATTTAATTCATAATCTATTTAATTAAAAGTATTTAGTATTTTAATAGAATGACGTTTTATATTTTTTATTATTTATTTCATATTTTCTAAAACGTTAATTAATTTTCAACAATTTGAAAGCAAACAGTACCAACACTGTACAGAATTTTTAAAAAATTTAGCGTCAGCGAGCTTGACTGCCTGTCGGAAATTCTAAAGATCTGTTGTTTTTAAATAGTATATTGTGATATTTTGCTGTTGAATTTTTATGTGGCTTAAGTGTGAAGAAAATGGTATTTAATAAATAAAATTCATATATAAAACGTTAGTAATAAAAAGACAAAAAAAGATTTTGTAAGCCATGTTACTAACAAAACTGAACATCAATATGATGAACTGAAAAGCTGAAAAATGTAGAAATATGTATGCCAACGCTTAACATTGCACCGGGAATTCTAAACATATGCTGCTATGCTGCTTTGGAAATTATTCTGATTTTTCTGTTGAATTGTACTTAGCGTAAATGCGAAGAAAAAAATACTTAATAATATAGCTAAAAAGACAAAAAAAAAAAAAAAAAAAAACGAACATTACTGAAAGCTTTTAGATTTTATATTACGCCCAAAGGGGCGCCGCTTCTTTAACGTTTTGCGTATTACCTTTATTTATTAAACACCATGTTCTTCGCCCTTTAACGACATAAAATTCAATTCAAGAGAAATACCACCAAATATTTAAAAACAGCATATCTTTAGCATTTCCGATAGACGGTCTCGCGCGTTGGAGATAGAAATACTTTCTTCCGTACAGTATTGCCATTGCTAGCTTTGAAATCGTTGAGTTAGTTAATTAGAAATTCGTTAAGGTTTTACAAAATATGAAATAGATAATAAAACAAATTTTAAATTCAAGATTCGAGCTTCCAAGTGCCCATATTCGGGTGAAGGATTATGTTATTCAAAATTTAATGTCTCTACGTACCGTCGTTTCTTCACAATGCGAGAAACGTACATACATTCATGTAGATTATTCATTATTTAATTTCTTTCAATATAATACAGGGCTCTAATACTTGGTGGCAACGATCTGAAAAGTGATTCAGCCATTTATAGTGATTCAACGCAAAATGCCGTTTCGAGACTAATAGCCATTCGAGTTAATGTTCCTTTGGGCTAAAAAGAAAGAAAAAAAGGTTAAAAGCAGTGAGAGCAAGTGCAGTTTGGTAGATTGCAAACTCATAGAAGACGTAAAAATCCTGAACAGACTTTCAGATTGTCACACTTTCACATTTCAGATTTTTCTCATTAGCCCAAAGGGGAATTTACCCAGAAAGGCTGTTAATTTCGTTTTGGCATTTTGCGTCGTCCACTATAAAACGGTATTTCACTTTTCAAATTGTTGCCACCAAATATTAATGACCAGCATTATATTTAAAGAAATTAAATAATTAAGAGTCGGCATGAATGTATGTACGGTTCTCGCACTGCGAAAAAACAACGGTACCTAGAGTTTTGAATAACGCAAATCAACAAATTTTGAATAACGCATTCCTCCACTCCAATATATGCATCTGGAAACCCAAATTTGGAATTTAAGATTTGTTTTATTATCGATTTCACATTTTGTGAAACATTAACGAGTTTTTGATTAACAAACTCAACGATTCCAAAGCGAGCAATGGCAACATTCTCTGGGAATAAAATTCTAAAAAATATTTCTTGTTGGATATTTCTGTTGGATTGAATTTTATTTTAAATTGCACGAAACATGATGTTTAGTAATTCTCAACATATGTTTTTAAATTGTTTGGGATATTTAAAGTTGGATTATATTTTATTGGTTTTTTGAGAACATGAAATTTATAAATTTTTAAAAGTTTTCACTGTCATTGAAAACTAAAAAAAGGAAAAAGAAAACAAAATTGAATAATGCTTTTTTATCATTCCTATTTATTTTTCTTTAAAAATAACAGATCCCAGTAATCGTTTTGCCTCATTGAACTATACCGTATAGCAGATGGGTATTTTTTCTACTAATGTTAAACTAAAAAGATCTGAATGCCATTCAGTGGAAATCGTGTCATTCCTCAATATCCGTGCAGGGGGGGGTGGGGTGATCCTATTCCTGAAATGTCCTTATTCCATATACCGCCTGGAATGCTGGATTCCGTTCCCATAGAAGACACTGAATTGAAATATGACTTTGTAGATGGAGCTTATGAGTTGGAACTCTCCGCGAACTTTACTGAAGATGAACTAGAAGACCAAAGATTCTTTGGTTGTGTCGTTTCTATGAATGGAACTGGTTATGAGGAAGAAATACAAATTCCTTACCTTCCAGGTAGGACATTAACTCTGTTTAATGTAAAATTTAAACGACTATCGTCGTCATTAAACCTGACTGCAGTAAAAGCACGATAATACTATTTGTTGCAGATTTTAAAAAATATCGAATTTTTAAATGCTCCGAATTCTCAGACTGAAGTTTCATAATGCCACAAAATGACTTTTTTTCACTTTATTGAATATATTGATGAATTAAATTAGTTTCATTAGTTATTCTTTAAGCATATTTAAAGAACAGGGCTTAGTAGTGAATAAATAAATTGCCAAATTAATTATATTTAATCAATTTCTGAAGTAATCATTATTGCCTGTTATTGATCAAATAGGTTTCTTTCTACTGAACCATTAACACAAGACGCCGTACAAGTACTCTAACTCAGATTTTCTTTCTCTCTCTTCTCTATCTGTATATGTGTATGTGTATATTTCACGCCAGTCCATGGGTAATACAAGGTGCTGTTTCCAGTCCAAAAATTCTATAGTGAGTTTCAGTGTATAAGTAGGAAACAGAGACCTACAGCTCCCTTTTACTATTTTTAGAATGATGTCCATTTGTCTGTGTGTCTCTGTATATAGGTTTGACAATTTTTCGTCCACGATAATTCTTATATGAAATTTCTAAAAATTTTCATTTCTCATATTTAAGCTTATCACATTCACATAGTTAATTAGATTTTGGATGAAATTTGGAACTCCGTAGCGGTACTTTACTTTGAAGCCCATAAAGTCACGTTTACACTAGGGGACTTTGCACTAAGGGGATTTTGAGCGCATGGAACTTGACGTCTGCTCTAAAAGGAAAAATGTCTGCTCATTGTTTTTACATTCCGCCTATATATATGTAGGGTTCTCTTTTAAATCAGAGCATGAGAGCTCGAACGTAGCATTTTTAAATATGCTTTTATTTAACGATAAGAAATAAAAATAATAAAGATAAACTAAGTAAAGATTAAATGTTGAATGATTCATGTAATGATGCACAATCACAGACAGTCCTTTCACATAGAGTTCCTCCGGGGTTTGTTGATAGAATACATTAGTCCCCAGCTAGTTTTGAATAGTATGATCATCTAAAGTCATAACAGCTAAAAGCGAAACATCAAAAGAAGAATCAAAAACTCCAAAATAAGACCTAAGAAGACCGTCTGTCTTCTTCAACTCTTGAAGGCATGCGAGCCGTCTGCTCACATCGCCACTCTCCTGGACGCTATCAGACGCTGTCTGGAATGATTCTTACTGCGCTGTGCGATGATGACGTCAGCTGGTACTTCGCTAAGTCGGCATGGGGCGTTGATGATTTCCACATATATAAGTAAGGAAGGTAATGTTTTCGGTGAAAAAGTTTGATAGTGAGTTGTCTGTGAATAAGCACTAATCAGGGTCTTCACAACAAGTTTTTCCTATTTTTGCAATGATGTTTGCTGTATGTTTGTGCGATGGTCTTTTCCTCCACGATAGCTCTTATATCAAACTTCCAAAAATGTCCGTTTTTCGTATTTAAGCTTTCTACTTTCATATAAAGAGGTGATTAGATTTTGAGTAAAACTGGAGAATCGGAAGTGTTACTTCATAGGAAACTCATAAATGTTTTTAACGGACAACCGGAAGTGATGCTTTACTTGAAAACTGTTTTTAGTTAAAAACTAAAAGCTATATTAAAATATAATACAAAATTTTTCAATTTTTAGTATTTAAGATTTATACGTCAGTGGGAACATCATATTAGATTTTGGCTAAAATTAATAAACCGGAAGTGATACTTTATTTGAAGCTCGTAAAAAATGTGAGATATTTCAAAACTTCTCAGATTTGGTATTTAAAATAGGTATGTAACTAAGATCAACATTTCTAAGCATTAAATTCATTTTGGGGATTATGCTAAATGCAAAGAGAACAAGCTCATTATATAAAGACGAGTTCTCGTTACGAAGCAACAGCCTCAGTCCTCAATTTTGTGTTCGATTCATTTTTGTGTCGAATTACTTTTCACAAAAAGTATGCTGCCACCAAATTTTATCGCTATATATTATTTTTGAATAAATAATGCAGAAAATATAAATAATAGAACGAATAAAAAGGAATATATAGCAACACTTAACATTCTATTGGAAATTCTAAAGATATTCTGCTTTTAAGAATTTTTGTTGTCAAGTCATTGATTTGTGAATCCGAAACAGAGGATATATTGATGCAATATTTTCAAATCAAAGCATGAGAAAGGGTGTGTACAGGAGCACATATAATTAACATTGGAACAGAATGATAAAAAATTAGTAATGTTTATATTTATCATTGAGCCATAAAGTTTATATACAAATTAGGTTTTCCTTACAAACGATCAACCGGAAATAATAGTTTACTTAAAGCTCTTTTATTATTATTCTTTGTTAAATCATGTGCTGGCCACGTCAGATTTTTTCCTCCTTTTTTCTTTACTTTACCCGAAAAAAACATATTAGTTCACTGTAAATGTATTGTTTGAAGTTTTGAGTCTGCTGCCATTCGGAAAATTTTAAGATATTAACTTTCATATTTTAATATGTTTTTATTGATTACAAACTAAGCTATTTAAAAGCAGCAGAAGCATTTACTAAGAATATTATTTTTTTACTTTTTAATTTGATTGATTTAAATAAAATGCATTTAATTTGCAATATATCCAATTAAAACATTACATATTTTTAGAATTACGTTACATATTTCTTCTTTTTTCAAATATACAGAAGATATATAACTTTCCCATTTTAATTTAAATGTAATGTTGCGTTATACGGTTTCATAAAGATTGAATACACACAGGTCCGATGATAGGATAATAAAATTTATTTTTATCAAATGAAAAACACTTCAAAGTTCTGGAATTTTCCACAGAAATACTAGTTCAGGTGTTCATGGAGTTCACAGAGTACAATTAGTAGTTACACTTTAAACTACTAACAACGTTAAACACATAATGGGCACCCAAAGGGAAAGCTAACCTGGATAAACCTCTGTTCACGCTGAACTAACAACTTGCAACAGAAATAACTAAACAACTAACTGAGAGCAGATGCTCTCTTCGGCCTTATATAGTTTTCAACCGGCTGCCGAGGTATTTCTAGTGCTTTCTGCTTCGCAAAATGACTGGAAAGCAATAGGAAGGTTGAGTTACGGTTACAGCTAGTACTATGATCAATTACAATGCTTATTGCGGCGATACAGGGACAGGACAAAAATGTTTCCAAATGGTACCCGTTTGGCAACTTTTGGAGATTTCTCGCCAAATTTGGTAATAAAATAAGTCGTCAAAATCGTTGTCAGCTTGGCGATATCTAGCCAAATTACTGAGAAAACCCTTTTACTCAATGCTAAATGGACTTGTTCCTGTATTCTTACTTTTTTGGCAAAGCTTCTCTCTTAAGATTTTCGCGTTACATTATTACACAGAAAAATACAAAAATTTCAATTAAAATTCCACAAAACGTTCCTATTCTAAGTACAAAATTCGTATTGGTATATTCATCTAGTATCCTATAAAATGTTTTGCTATGCCTTCTGGAACATTTCTATCCATAATCTCTGCTGATAAACCATATTAACTTTATTTAAGTATTCGCGTATAAATATGTATCAAGAAATTTAAAACATTTTTTTTTCCTTTTTAGCACCCAAGGCAGAGAAACAAGAAAGTAAGTATGTATTCTTTCATCTAAATTTGCAAAATAATTTTTTTAATTACTATATTTTAAATTAACGGATGCTTAAAATAACTCGTAGCATTAAATGCTTTATTTAAAAAAAAATTTAAGTTAAATGTAGGAATAAATGCTACATTTTTCTTTCGAATATCAGTGTCTTATAAACTAGCTAGATGCCTAAAATGCTTCTTAAAAGTCCTAATTTATGCCTTTAATCTCTAATAACTTAATGAAATTAAAAGCATCGCATTGTTAAATAACAAAGACCTATACTTTTTTTAGTCCCGCTTTTCATGCTTCTTAGGCTTTTAAAGTGAGTTAAACTACATAAGAGCACTTGAGGGGCCTTTCTTAACTTTGTATATAAATTAAACTCTCAGCGCTCAGTCCTAACTTAAAGCTATGATGGGAGATATCGCTTGTAGCTTGAAATAACTATGCAAGCGTAAACACCATATTAAACTCGAGTAAGTAAATAAAATTTAACTAACTTTACCTCACACCTTGTGAGTTCTAAATTAAAATATTATATTAAAACAATAAAGTTATAAGGATTTTAAGTTTTACTGGCGTTTTTTTTTATTATTATTTTTATTTTTATTTTTATTTTTATCTTTTAACTTTTCTATTCTCTCTTATTTTCCATTTCCGGCCAGAATAAGTGTGAGCACGATTTTTATGTTAATGAGTTTGCAAACTGTATATGTATCTAAGAAGTGGTTTCTAGCCAAGACAAGAGAAAAGCCTTCCTACTGCCTTGCTACGCGCGTGCTTTTCAATCAGTTCATGTCTGCCTTTAAGGCCAGAACTTAGTTCATGCTTACGGGACGTATTGTAGTATTTTGGATTTCGCTCACCAGGATTTGGCGATTGGGTTGCCTAATCCCCAGTCGCTTTTTAAAAGGGGGAGTATATAAGATAAGGTATTTCTCCCGCCTTCTTATCATACCTTCGTAGTGTAGTAGTCAGCACGCTGGACGCATATTCGAGAAGTCCGTGATTCGAGTTCCGGCGAGGACATTGCTCATCTCTCCTGCTTTCAAAAATACTTAATGTCTCTACAAAGTGAGCCTCCTTCACTTTATCAAACATTAACTGGGATATCAAACATTAAATAGGTTCCTCTTGACATTATCGGCGATTTTTCGACGCCAAGAAGCAATGTTTCCAAGATGGCTGTCGCCAAAAACAACGCTGAAAATATATTTTTCAAAAACAGCAAAAGTAGTCATCTCGTTTGTTCTGGGCTACGTCTCTTCGTCAGTGTGGGATGATTGCAGCACATACAATTCTTTTATGCAACTGATATAATTCCGAAACGGATCCTCCTCTTCCTCATCGAGGTAGCGCCGACGCCACATAAACAGGTCAAAGTAGGAGTCAAAAATGTCATACGACGACTGCCAAAGACCCTACTTGCGAAACTCGTGCTTAAAGTGGATCCATATGCCCTCAAAGTTGTTTGTATGAGCGTAGTGACAAACCAACTCATAGCCATTCAACTGATCTTTTAAGCTCGACAAGATACATTTCTTTCGTACAAAATTGACATTCATGGCAGAAACTAATTAAACCATCAGTTAGTTATAGCTTTCTTACCCTTCTACTCTAAATCATGAAAATAACGAATATTTATTTTGCGATACATACTTCGTTGTGGAAGTTACAGGACAATGATTAATTAGAACCAGACAGCTAACGAAACCCAGAGGTCAGTTAACGTCTGTTAAAATCCCAATATTTCAAAATACGGTCAAAATTCTAAATATGTGATTTGCAGTACATACACGCACTGCAAATCACGTAGCCCTCGATCAATAAACTAAGAATTTCCAGTCTGATTAAACTTAAACAATGGCATATAACAAAAAAATGGCTACCATAACATAGGGAAAGAAAATCGGTAGCAGCAACAGTATCTGACGCCAAATCAAAAAGCAACTTTTTCTACACTAGAACCATTAAATGGTACTTTTAATTCGATTGGAAACGGTACTACTACTCAACTCTACAACACCCCTCAATTGGACAACCTATTCTAAACTAAGATCAACTTCCCATTCTGCACCAATATAAGGCATTCTATCTCTCTAGAGGCTCATCAGCGGCCGAGCGGTAAAGTCGCTGAACACTGGTAGTTCGGTCCGAGGTTCGAATCCCGCGAACGGGCTGGCTGCATGGGTGTTTTCGTGGCTTTCCCCATGTGTAACGTGTATACGAGCCAGTTTCCCTTAGAAAGTTCTCCACGAAGGCCTGCCTCCCCTTAGGCAGATAGCCCTAGTGTGCTTTGCCATAATTCAATACACCACCTATCTGTCTAGAGCCGCGGTTTTCTAGGTTGAAGACAAGCGCGGCAGCAATTACACAACCAATACAATTCAAAGGATCTTGATTCTTTCTTTCAACTTATACTATGTCGCTTGCCAAACAAATCTACGCAATATTTGGAGTGAGCGAGTACGTATCGAAACGAGATATAAAAGGAAGGCGCAGATTAAACTTTTAACTTTTAGTTAAATGAAATGCTACAAGTTACAAGTTCTTTAATAAATTGTAAATGAAAATGTCAGCTTTTGTCACTAACAAAAGATTTGAAAATTTGCAAAATGTTTTAAACTTCGAAAAGGATAAGTGTTTGTTTAAATTATTACAGGCTTAATTTTTTTAATTATCGTTGTATTTAAATATATATATATAATATATATCTACTGCGATGATTGGAAGAATTTTGTTTGGCATAACATGAGTTTTCTTTGTGGTTATGCATTCACTAATATTTTAATAAAATCATATACACCTCTTTACTTGTATGTATCAATTTACTTGGAAAAATGTGCATACATGCTATTCCTTTTCAACGATCCTATTTTTTATGTAAATAATTATGATTACATGGTTATTCTGGCTGCTACCAAATCCAAGAAAACAGAGCTGTGAAATGGCAAAGAATAGAACCGATATCAGGATCAAGAAAACACCATTGCAAAGCAGTAAACAGTAATGCAAAGAAAGCAAAATAAATAAATAATGAGAGAAAATACCTTTTCCCAGTAAACATGCATACTGCAGGCAGAAATTAAACCTCCCAGACATTAAACATTGCAAAAGACTTGAGTTATAGATAAAATAACACTGTTGTGATCATTAATTATATATTTACCTCTAGTTTCTTTTACATTGCTTACAACTACAAGCTACAGCTGAATTGTTTATTTTAAAAATAAGTTCGCATTTTATGTTTATAATTTATTAACTTTTGTTAGCTTGATGGAGAAGATTTACTCAGACGATTATCAGTTTTCTTGAATTCTACTTAGAATTTCATGACAAATTTGTGTTCTTGTTTACAATTTGAAGTATTTCTGATGAGACAGTTTATTCTTTTTATGTTTATTGTTGGCACTTTTTAATTAATTAATTGCTTCAGTTTCATTTTACTGTAGGTATTTGCTTATTTAGTTGGTTCCTAACTTTCTAACTTTTGTTTTTGTGTTTTTACGTATGTATTAACTCTCTAATGATTTGTAAACATTATCGCAATAATTTTATCCGCTTTTCTTTTTCGCTTCATTCTATTAATTTAAACAGCACATCTTCTTTTTTTCTTTTTTCTCTTGATTTCATTTTACTGTTCTTGCTTACTTATGTGCTATAGATACACATAAACTCACTCGCAGAAAATTCATTTGGTATTTTAATCAATTTAAATTTTTTTATTAATTTTAAATGTTGTTTGTAGACTTTTAAGAAAGTGAGAAATTTCTCATATTTTAACAGGTGATGATGATTCCGACGAAAATGCAGCCTCGAAGTGTACAGGAGTCTTTTTAGTAGCTACGTTCTTCTTGACACTTCTTTTTTTGTTGACGTAGCTGATCATAGTAAGTCGTTAATTCATTATATCTGAGACTTTTAACAACACATTACTTCTAGAAGTTATAACTCTTGTTACTAGTTATAACTCTTGTTGTATTTAATATTTAGAACTCCATTTTCGGCTTTTGTCTAAATGATACTTCCTCTGAAGCTCTCCGAAAACATCATGTATTTACCCAAAGGAATTACTTGAATATATCCCCTAAAAGAAAGTAGCCTCTGATTTATGATACACCACTAAGTACTGCTAGTAGTATACTGCCTTATTTCCTGCCTTGGTGTTATGATAAATGAAAATAAAGAACGTAAAGTAAAAATGTGGCTTTTACTATGATCAGAACATAGAAGATAAAAAGCTTCTATTCAAGTGTTGGATATCTAGTATTTTAAGTCTCGGGACTATTACCGCATTTCCACTTTATTTGAGTGATTCCTAACAGAAATTCTAACAGCACGACGTTATCATGTTTTCAAATTGCCGTCGATATTTTATTCATCATACGAATGCTTTGAAGAAATGCTTGGTTTTTCTTACTTCCCATCACCGGCTGTCTGTATCTAAATGCATATACTGACATACAAAGTTTTATAGCAAAAATTTTTAAAAATGAAATTTAGACAACCTTAGTTCAAACATGCATGAGAATTCTCTCGAATAGTGTCTGTTCGCTCAGCAGATCATTCAGTTCATAACCAGAATTATTAAATCCTTCCTCTGAACTAAAACTGTTATTTTGTCCCAAAATTAAAGTGTACTAGCTCCATTTGCAATATTACAGTTTGTTTAATTTAGAGGTGACAAAATGCCTTGACTCTGAAATCACCAATCATTGGTAAAGATATTGCCATTTTCTGAGACTCATAAAGAAACCAAAATAGCTTTGAAGGTTTCGAAATTCAGATATAAAGAAACATCAAAAAGAAAGACCATTTTGCAATTTCGAATTTGTTTTTTATTTATTTCATATTTTGTACGAATTTAATGAATTTTTATTACAAACCCAGCGATCTAAACACGAAGAGTAGCAACACTTATTCGAAATAAAACATTGTAATCTCTAGCGTGACAGACTGTTGCCTTTCGTCAAAATTTAAGGTAATTTAATCAATAAACTAGGCTATTTCAAAGTACTACGTTGCCATTGCCTGAAATAATATACTTTTATCTTCCCCGCGCCAGCGTGTTGCCTTTCAGTAAAGAATAAGATTTAAGCAATTTTCAAATTTAATATTCTGTTATTGAGTAATAATCCAAGTCATTTAAAGCAATAAAAGCAGCTCTCAAGAATTTTTCCTACTTTTCAATCTGGTTGATTTAAATAAAATGAGATATTATTTCTCTTCAAAAACCGCAGAAACATATCCTTCAATCTACACCTTGTTCACATGCGATATTTTAAACAAATAATGCATTTTAAAATAGCAGCGATATTTCTCATTTCAGATGATAAGCTATTACCAAAAACATTTATTCCAAAACATTCGTTTTAAAAAAAAATTGTTTACCAAAATCGTTTTAAAAATGTGTAAACCCCTTCTGTGCTTTCTCGCCTATTGTGCATACTCAAGTATAACTTAATATTTGGTAGACAATCTCCTGACTAAAGAACAACATAAAAATATTTTGCTTTACTTCTATAAACATTAGATGAAACAATTTCATGTATCTTTTCCTTTCGCAAGTTAACAGAAGTAGCCATCAAAGCTTGACGAAAAAGTCACATATAGAAAGGTCTGAAATAATTTCAAAGCTTTCCGCATTAGAAAGTTATCATAATTTTGCAAAGGAATATATCATACTTAATTCTGTACATAGATTTTAGTCCTTCTACTATGAATAACTAGCAGCTTCGCTGCCAGCCTTCGTCTGGCTTTTAAATGTACCGGAAAAATGGCTGAAGGGAACACCAAACGTTAAATTTAAAAACTGCATAAAATTTTACTCTGCAACACAACTTCATAAAAAAAAGTTTTTACGTATAACAAAATTACAATGAAGCAATATCCCTTAATACAAATATTAATTATCCTAATAAATAAATTAACCATAATAAATAGTTCATAATAAAATCATTTTTAAAACAAATGCAAAATTATATTTTAATATTTAAGAGCCATAAATAATGTTTAAAACATTATATTAAATTTATAGATATTAATAAAACCAATTACGTTTTAAGGTGACGTCATTGATTACATCATCCCCAAAATAAAATTATATAAAATACTATAAATAACAAAATTTTTATTTCAAATAAAAATGCAAAATTAAGTTGATTTTTAATATTTAGAAGCGATAAATAATATTTAAAACATGGAATTTATGCATAATAAAACGCATTATTTTTTAAATAAAATGACAACAAAGTATCGGTTACCATAAATAACTTATCCAACAATGGGTTTACCATAAGTCGTATTACTCGCCAAAAGAAAAATTACCAAAATCCGTGCAACCGTCTGCCAAAGTAGCACCAAAAATTACAATGAAATAAGCTATATCCCTATACAACTATTTTAATTATCAACTATTAATTATCCTAATAAAAAAAAAACCAACTTTTTTCCGTTGAAGAAAAAAAATCATGCAAAACTTTTCAATATCTTACAAACAGTGAAATAAGCAAAAAATAACATGAAAGAAACTCAAAAAAAACAAAACATTCCGCGCACTATTTTTACTCTGCAGAACACAACTTTATAAAAAAAACATCAATAAAATGTATTATATATATAAAAAAATCTGATGTGTACACCACATGACTTCCTTCTACGGAATATTAAATTATACGCATTTTTTCTTGCATTTCATTTAAACTTATTAGACTGAATTAAATCTACTTCGCCGACAGCGCATAAACCACAATAGAATAAATGCATTCTTTAAAATTCACTCTAGTATTTGTTTACCATAGCGACACTCTGGCGCTAGATTCACTTAACAGTATTAATAATTATATAACAGTTAACTTATATAATAATTATATAACGGAAACTAAGTTAACTGTTATATAATCCAATAATTATATAACAGTTAACTTATAAATTTCGTTCATATTATAACTCATAATGCACAAAATTTATATCATTTAAAGAATAGAATTATCCAATCATTGCCACATGTTCTATTCAAATACTATAATAAAGCTAGAATGATGTATAAAAGAAATTAAGCAAACAAAACAAAAAAGAGGCAGTTTTTCACAGACGATTGAGTATTTCTCATTTAATTAATTCAGTTCTCACTTCACAAGAAGGCAAAAATACATAAAATCTCATATCTATATTAAAAATTACGAAGTAAATCTTAAACACTTATTTCCTCGAAAAAATTCCAGAAAGAATTAAGCATGATTTAATTGGCAATGATAAATGAATGCGTTATCTTTGTTGTATGGCAGCTAAATTTCTCTAGATTGGCAACAAATCAACTAGTCTCCTGTTTCAAATGTAAACATCAATGGCCGCCATAAAAAAAAGAGCTTAGCGGCACTTAGACAACTTTAAAATTGTTGATAAGTCTAAAAATATTGCATACAGATTTACTAAAGGCATAAAAACCTTAACCGTAAGATAAAAACAACATAATACAATCATTTTTAAAGCAAAAAATGTACAATTTACAAACATATAAGAGAAAAGAAACTGAGATCACTGAACCGGGTAACAGAGTGGATATATATATAAATATATTTATATACATTTGGTGCTGCCGATTGCAACCAAAATACGAGGTGCACATCTACATGTTATAGCAGTCCTATATACAAAATTTCAACGTTCTGAGGCTACTCGTTTTTGAGTTATGCGAGATACTTACGTATGTACGTACGCACGTACGTACATACGTTCGTACAAACGCCACGAAAAATTCTCTTCAGAATTAACTTTAAAGCAGTTTTATAATTTTTTTGAAGGAAAAGAGTATTTTATTCTGTCCTTACGTACAGATATCACGCAAAAACATCGTTTAATTGCATTCGATAGCGGTCAAAATGGATATTTTCGTTGAAATATCCTGCCTGAAACTTTTCGCGATTACAATACTTCCTTTTTACTTCGTACAAGGAAGTAAAAATGGTAATGAAATATGCCAATCTCTTAAAAACAGTGACATAAGAAATACGAGGAAAAATCGTTGCCAACCCCATATTTCTAAAAGAATGAAATTATTCAAAATGATGGGATATCATCAAAAATCTATCAACAACAATAAGAAAGGAAAATTGTTGCCAAAATCACATTTGTAAAGATGTGAGATGTGAGAAGTGTACTCGGAAGCTTCATTTAAAAAATTTTTCAAAAATGCAAAATATTATCATTTTTCCAAAATTCTTTTTGTATAAGCAGTGGCAAGGATGAACGTTTAACGTGTCCAAAAATCAAAGAAAAATAAACTGTACACTGCTCAAAAAAAGAAATGGGACAGTGCTATATCTCCCGTTCTACTGGGCCCATTGACAAAATTCAACCTGCGTTTTTCATGTCTCGAAAGCGCGACTTGGGATATATATTAGATTTATATATAGCACTATTCTAACATAGGTATTTTGACACCAAATTGGACTTTTTCTGAAATAACATTCCATTTTTTTCCATATTTCGATTCTACGACTCAAATTATGCCAGAATACCAAGTTTTTGTAAAAATCGTACGAGTAGTTTTTTAAAATATTAGCTCTCAAAATTTTAGCTCCTCAATGTTAATTGAATTTGGCAAATATTTATTAATATCTCATTTTTTTATTAAACTTTTTTTGATTTTTTCTCTCACATTTCGAAATTTAGGTTCATTACAAATAAAATTTACCCATTTTTTGTGTTTTTATTTTAAAAATTTCTATTTTAAAATAATTTTTATAAATTTTTTCGAAAAAAATTTTGAATTATAACCTATAAAATTTTTACCATCATCTTAAAGTAGGTGTATTTTAAGCATATATCTGCAAAAATTAGGCTTTTTTATTCAAAATTTTCTAAGATATACACGAATTTACATATTTTC